CCGCTGTGGTGTGAACAGCAGTTTCCGTCTTAAAACTTCCACATTCTTCAGATCTATCCCGTCTCTAAGACATGTACTGCCATCGCGGAGTCTTTGGCCAGCGTTTGGTATACTTCCACATTTCTCGGTGATTTGTTTATTCTTCTTTTATGCTCACCAGTTTTGATGTGCAATTCCCTGGCAGTTTGCCCCATGTAAACCTTAGAGCACTTGTTGCAGTTAATTTTATGCACACAGTCCCTAGTCTTTTCAACCGGGAAGGAGGGATCTTTCAAGTGCACCAAGACTGAGCGAAGCGTCCTTCCCTTCTGGAAAGCTACCCGAATGTTGGCTAAGTACAACAACCTTCGGATAATCTCCGATGTTCCTGCTTTATACGGAATGATTGCTGTGTCAATCCATTCCTTACTAGGTCTAAACACCAGAGCCAAAATTTTTCTTAATTGACGCCTGATCAAACTTACTGGGTATCTTGAATCCTGTTGGCAAACTCGATTTGAGCTGCCGTTCGGTCGATCTCTTCTGTGCGAAGCGCTCTGACTCGAATAAACATCAATGAGACAATACTGACGTACACGGACTTTGNGGTGTTCTTGTGAATAGCTTAAGACGGTTCCCGTGTCTTTTGGTTTCTGGTAGATAGTCGTTTTCAATTTCCCACCAACCTTATGTGTGATGAATAGCCGAAGACGGCTCCTGTCCATGAAGGGTAATGTCTCCGAGGCAGACTCTATTTCCATGCTAACTTTGCTGTGTAGACTTAAACTGTTGAGAGATTCGGGGAAGTTGTTCGCGTCATGGAGTTTGATTAAAACAAAGGTGTCATCAACATAAAGCCAAAAAACTTTCGATGGACAATGAAATCCGACCANCGGCAAGAAACGCGTTCATAAGTTGAAGAAAGTAACACCCATTTGGCCACGAGAAGTGCCACTTGGGGGAGACCAGATGAGAAAATTCCCTCTCGGTACTGCTTCCATAAGTTGAAGAGAGTAACAACCATTTGGCCACGACAAGTGCCACTTGGGAGAGACCAGCTGAGAAAATTCTCGCTCGGTACTGCTTTGTCACCCAGCCGTCTAGTGGCCAAAATTAGCGAGAATTGGGACACTTTATCCCAGAGTGAGCTGAAAGAACCGCTGAGGGGTGACGTAGAAAGACAGTTTGCTTTTTTTCGCAAGTGTTTTTGGCGCACGATTAGTTAGTTAGCTGACATCCATAGAGAGGGGGGAAAAGTCGCGCACGCTAGTCTGAATGATTCGGACAGAGGAGTAACCGACCCGGTGACACTTTTTTCGGAAAAGTTGGGTTAGAATCGGTAGATTTGTTGCTGGGTAACGTTTCGCTTTTGACGCAAAAGATTCGTCAGGCCAAGTGACTAGGTTCCGAGGTTGATCGAGATTTAAGGCGGAAGGAGAAACACTCAGCTAAGTCAAGCTAAATCTCTGTTGGGTGTCGGCCGAGGGATTTTAGTGTGTTAGAGTGGTTGAACAATTGTTGGGTCGGTGGGGAAACCTACATGTGTTTGGGTCCTGCCTAAGGTCTAGTTCTTCTGGTTTGGTTCATTTGATGGTTCCTCTTGAACTTCGTTTGAACCTTCTGTTAGTCTGTGTGGGTGAGCTAGTGCTAAGA